CGCGGGGTGCCGCGGGCACTCACCCCGCCCCCCCCCCCCCCGAGCTGATACCCCTCTCTCTGCCCCCACAGGGTCCCCTGGTAGTCCGGGGCAACCGGGTCCCGCCGGCCTCGCCGGAGTGGTGAGTACTGCCTGGGGCTGGACCCTGCCCCGTCACAGCCCCAGCTATGGGGTACAGGGGCCGGGAGGGTGCCTCGGAGGGTGGGTTTGGGGGTCACCATCCCCATCCTGCGCTGACTCCCATGCTCCGGGCTCCCTCCTGCCTCCCCACAGGGGCTGAAGGGCGAGCGGGGCTCCGTGGGAGAGCGAGGTCTGCCAGGGATGCCAGGACAGCCAGGACCCCCGGGCCACCCGGGACCACCGGTGAGTGCAGCAGGGCACGAGGGGTGACACAGACCCCTGCACCCCGCTGCAGCGGGGACCTCAAGGACGGCACCGCACTGGTCGCCATCTTACGCTGTCCCACTTTGATTTTGCAGGGGGAGCAGGGACCAGATGGACCCGTCGGTAAAGAGGTACGAGCGGTGGCTCTGCGATTCACCTGCCCGGTGGGATGCGGGGCTGGACCGTGGCATCCTCCTGGTGTGGCCATGGTGTCCCCAGGGTGCCTGCGCAGGGCACATCCCTGCTGCCCACGGTGTTCCTCCCTTTAGGGTGACTCCCCCCTCCTTTCTGTCTTTGCTTGGTGAGCAGCTGTGTGGAGGAGAGAAGAACAAACTTCTCTCTTGGAAGCACTCATTTTCTTCTCCCCGACATACTTTCCATCGCTACAAACTGCTCTGGTGCTGGGCTTTCATCTCTAACAAGAACACTGACAAAAGCATTCCTTCCCTTCATCAAGCACTTTACAGTTTGTGTTTCTTTTATTCTATGCTGTTGCATTTTGATTAAATCTCTGGACTACTGTTAGAAGCACAGCTCTGAACAAAGGGCGGATGCAGTCTGCCAGAGGAGTTCCTCAACTTGAGGTGCAGAAGAGTCATGCTGTGGTACGGTAGCCATCTGCTGAATTTTCATAGCATCTCCTTTGATCATGCATCTTGTGCTGTTTTTACTCTGTTACAGCAGTTGTATTCCACTGTTCGGGACCCCCGGGGATGATGGTAAGGAGGGGTGGCCGGGGCGCGGCGTCCCCTCACAGGTCCCGGTGGCGATGTCCCCTCCTGTGTCCCCCCAGGGAGACGTGGTGAATTACGACGAGATCAAGAGGTTCATCCGGCAGGAGCTGAGCAAGATGTTTGACGGTAACGGGGCAGCGGGGGCGAGGGCTGGTCGCACCCCGGCGTCGCCTCGTCCCCGCTGAGTGTGGTCACCTCATCCCGCAGAGCGGATGGCATACTACACCTCCCGGCTGCACTTCCCGGTGGAGATGGTGGCGTCCCCTGGGAGACCAGGTCCTCCGGGGAAGGATGGGCTGCCCGGCCGGCCGGGACCCCCTGGTTCCCCAGGGATGCCGGGGCAGATCGGCAGAGAGGGGCGGCAGGGTGTGCCGGGCATGCGGGGTAGGTGCTGCTCCCCGGGGGCATTCCCGGTGTCCCCAGGGCATTCCCAGTGTCCCCAGGGCATTCCCAGTTGTGCCACGGTCTCACTCCTCTCCATCCACCTCTCCTCCAGGTGAGCCGGGCGCCAAGGGAGAGAAAGGCGAGAAAGGCGTGGGGGTGATGGGAGACAGCGGTCCCCCGGGACCCCCAGGTGAGCCCCCTCCCTCAGCGTGGCCACTAGCCCCATCATGGGGCTCGCTGCCAGCCTCGCACCTTGCCACCTCCCTCTCTCTCTCTCTCTTTTTCCAGGTCCCCAAGAGCCACCAGGCTACGGGAAGCCCGGGCCCCGTGGGACAGCAGGGCATCCCCGGCATCCCCGGCCCCCCGGGAGCCACCGGGCAGCCGGGCAAGACCGGGCACTGCAGCCCGGCGGAGTGCGTGGGCGCCGTGCCCCTGGAGCAGCCCCTCTTCCAGCCCAAAAACGTCAAGGGTCCCTTCGGCTGAGGGGGCCCCCGTGCCCCCCGCGCCCCCCACCTTTGCTGTTAATATTGTTTCCCCGCTGTGCCGGGGGCTGTGCCTGTCCCGGGGGGGGAGAGGGGGGGTTGTACAGCTCTGTCGCAATAGTGAGGGCAGGTGGATCCTGCTCAGCCAAATACACCCGTGCTGGTGCTCCCAACGCCTCCTGCCTCCTCGCTCGCCTGCGGGACAGATGTCCGTCTCGTCCCCATTCCCGTCCCCATCCCCGTCCCCATCCCCGTCCCCGTCCCCATCCTTATCCCTATCTCCATCCTCAGCTCCATCCTCATCCCCCTCTGCATCCCTGTCCCCATCCCTCTCCCCATCCTTATAACAGTGGCCCCCAGCCCCTGTCCTGCCCCTCCGCCCTGCACCTGGGTGTGGGGGGGTGATCCTGGGGACATCCCAGCCCTGGTCCCAGGGGATGCCAGCCCTGATCCTGGGGGATTCTGGCTCTGATCTGGGGGGAACCGTGTCCTGGGGCGATCCAGGACCAGCTCCTGGAGAGATCCCAGCCCTGATTCCAGGAGATCCCAGCTGTGATGTGGGGGAATCCCAGTCCCGCCTCCGGGGGGATCCCGCACCAGCGCCCGGGGAGATCCCAGTGCTGCTCCCAGAGGGATCCCAGCCCTGATGTTGGGGGGGGACGCCAGCCCCCCCTCCCAGGCTGAAGCCGGTCCTGCTCCTGGGCTGATCCCGGCCCTGTTCGCGGGGAAATCCCACTCCCGTCCCCGGGTAGATGCACCCCTGTTCTTGGGCGCACCCTGCAGGACTCGGTGGGCCCCACC